AGGCCCTATCCCTCGGGACTCCATCTGATTGCACTTCTACATTAATACCGCACAAATCTGCTGTTCCACTCCAACCTCTTCCCTTTTGGCCACTTTTGTATCACTGTCTGCTTCTCTGACATCCCTTCCATCAACTGAAATCTAACATGGCTAAACTGAACGTCCCAAATATTCCCACTCCTTCCTTTTGCTGCCAGAAGCAAGGGATCTGAAACACCATCCTGCATTCATTCTAAACACTGTTCTTGGTATAAGCAGGGAGCAACAAATACATTAGCTTGGGGGAGGTCAAACAACGGACTAAGAACAATGTCTCATTTGTTCCCCTCTTCTCCAACAAGACAGCCCTGTCGGATGAGATAGAACAATGCTGATCACAGGAGCATTCTCCACTCTGCATGACTCGTGTGCATTCAGCAAGGCATGGACGATGCAGCACATTGGTATGCAGAACCATACACGAGACGTAGAGAGAGCCCAGGACCAGTGCTCTGGAAAGGGAAACGTCAGACATTGGAACTCCGCTTCTTTAAGCGTGCAAGGGAAAGGACAGAGAAATGCAGCTTCCACCCCCTCCTAGAGAAAGTGATTACTCTTGAGCTTGACAGATCAGTAGCACCTGGATTAGCTGCTGCCAGAAAAACAATCCTTTGAAAAGCCTCTGGTTCAAGGAGGAGGGCATATCCCCAAGGGAAAGGATTCTGTGCCTTAGAACAAGCTATCTGAACATCAAAACATAGGATCCTATCTGTCTGGGTCTTTTGCTTCATAGTTTTTGTGGAAAGCAGAAGATTGCAGATTTTAACTTCACAATGGTTTTGCAACATGGCAGAATTATTATTGTTACTAATAATGGTATTTTTTCCAGTGCAGTTATGGAGATTTAGCAGACCAGAACTGCTCTTTGCTCTATATTATTAAATAATTTGCAGCCTCACATGTTCACAAAAGAATGCTGAAATCCAGCGAATGTTCTTGAACTCCCCAAAGTGAGATAAATTTGACAGTGAAACATCCCATTGCCTTTTCATTGTCCTCACAATTTTGCTGCAAAAGGTTCATGAAGTGACAGGCAGAAGTTTTGCACCCGTCTCCGATTACCCTCCCTCTGTTTATCAGGTGTGTGAACTTCACTTCACAAAACACCTGTCACGTGCACAGAGCAAATCTGTGACTGAACATGTCATTGTCAGCCTCATGGGCCATATCCCCTGGCATTTGTCTTCGGGACCCTTGATTGTGCCTGCTAATGTGAGTTTCCAACCCCTCGGTGTCCACAACCCGTTCTCTGTGCTCCTCTGCAGTGGCTGGGTGCCTGCACCAACAGTGGACATGTAAACAAGTTTAGCATCAACTTTTGTGGGCCCAATCAAACCTGAGCGTTTGGAAACAGATGCCAGCTTAACAATGGCTGAAATTTTGACCCAACATATTCAGGAGGCAAAAGGCATTGGCCAATGTTGGCTTTTAAAAGGACACGGTCAATCTGAATTTTTTTTAATTTGCTACTTTAAAAAACAACAACCGGTTTTCTGAGATCCCCTTTAACTAGCATGCCTTGAATTTTTAACTGTTATATTCACACTGTCAGGAATTTTCTTTTTACAAAAATATGTATACTTTTTACCTCCTACTTGTTGATGTTTAGAACAGTGTTGCCAACTCTTATGATTTTGTCATGAGTCTCATGATAATGATTGTTTTCCTTAAAGCCCCTGCTTCTGGAGTCAGGTGGATCTGTGATGATTTCAGCCTTCATGCTTCAAGAAAAAGTAAGTTTCTAGCCCTCGTGACTGTGGAGAAAGCTTCAAAATGTGACACCCCCCCACCTCCAGTGCATCTAAACCACAAACCTAAAGACTCAAAAAGCAGAAGGCAAATGAAAAGAACCCCAAATCTATTGTTTTTTACATAATCTCGTGATCTTAAAGCCTATCTCATGATTTTTGAACCTTTGGCAATACTGAGAAAAATCTTTTGGCCCCAGAATATTTTGAACTCCAGAAACATGCTCAGGCCCAATCCCTCCCCTTCTGTTCTGTGTACACAGAACAGTTGCAGCTTTTCTGCCACTGATCCTGACGGACAACCTCTCAGAGCTGGGACACTGTGGTCATAGTGTCTACTACCACTTTGGAGACTAACTGCCTGGCTAGTTTTCTCTTTGCAACACACTAATTAGCCACAAAGGGTTTTCAAGCACATTGCAACTGGATTGCTGGGCAGAAGACCTTTGAGCCTTGCTAGAAAAGTGTGTTGTGCTTTTGCAGGAAGTTTCCTGCATTTCACTGGTTTGTTCTCAGCTATAATGGCCTGAAGGTAAGAGTGAGGCTGGTCCTAGGTGATGGCATGTCAGCCAGAAACCCACGCCAGCAAGCAGTGCTAATGAACACCTGTCAAAAGTCTGAGGAGGCAGAATGGAGGAGATACTTCCAGAGAATAGTCAAGAACAAATCATGTATGCAGTGTTGTTGTAGTCATGTTGGTCCCAGGATAATAGAGAGACAAGTTTTCGAGCTTACACAGAACTCTTCCTCAGGTCTGGGAAGTGTACTCAGAGTTTCACAGCTAAATGCAAGGTGGAGCAGATTGTTTAGCATGAGTTGTTAACACATATTTCAAGGGATCATTCAAGGTGAAGTGGCCCATTAACACCTCTCTAGTCATAGGGGAAAAAGGAAATTTGTCTTGCTCCCCAACAGAAGTTGGTCCAGTAAAAGATATTACATCACCCACTTTATCTCTGAAGAACAAATGAAGCCAAACCAATCTAATTTCCTTCGTTGATAGGGTTACTCTCCTAGTGGATAGCGGGCAAAGCTGTAGCTGTGATATATCTTGATTATAAGGCTTTGACACAGTTCCACATGACATTCTCATAAGCAAACTAGGGAAGTGTGAACTAGAGGAAATTTCTAAAAGGCGGTTGAAAGACTATGCTCAAAGACAGGTTTCAGAGGAACAGCCGTGTTAGTCTGTATTCGCAAAAAGAAAAGGAGGACTTGTGGCACCTTAGAGACTAACCAATTTATTTGAGCATGAGCTTTCGTGAGCTGTGATGAAGTGAGCTGTGGCTCACGAAAGCTCATGCTCAAATAAATTGGTTAGTCTCTAAGGTGCCACAAGTACTCCTTTTCTTTATGCTCAAAGAGTAGTTATTAACAGTTCACTGTCAAACTGAGGGGAAGGGGGAGGCATATCTAGTGGAGTCCTGCAGGTGTCTGTCCTGGGTCTGGTACTATTCAATATTGTCATTAGTGACTTGGATTATGGAGTGGATAGTACACTTATAAAATTTGCAGATGACACCAAGCTGGGAGGGTTTGCCAGCACTTTGGAGGACAGAATTAGAATTTAAAATGACCTTGAAAAATTGGAGAATTGGTCTGAAATCAATAAGCTGAAATTCACTAAAGACAAGTGCAAAGTACTACACTCAGGAAGGACCCGTCACATGTACAGCTACCAAATGGGGAATAACTGGCTAAGTGGTAGTACGGTAGAAAAGGCTTTGGGGATTATAGTGAATCACAAATTGGATGAGAGTCAACAATGTGATGCAGTTGCGAAAAAGGCTAATATCCTGGGGTATATTAACAGGAGCGCTGTATGTAGGCCACCAGAGGTAATTGCCCCAACTTTATTCGGCACTGGTGAGACCTCAGCTGGAGTACTGTGTCCTGTTCCGGGCAGCACACTAAGAAAGATGTGGACAAATTGCAGAGAGTCCAGAGGAGAGCAACAAAAAGGATAAAAGGTTTAGAAAACCTGACCTATGAGGAAAGGTTAAAAAAACCGGGCACGTTTAGTCTTGAGAAAAAAAAGACAGGGGCGGGGTGGGGGTTGGGGACCTGCTAACTGCCTCCACATACATTAAAGGCTGTTATAAAGAGAACTGTGATCAATTGTTCTCCAAGTCCACCGAAGAAATGGGCTTAATCCGAAGCAATGGAGATTTCAGTTCGATACTGGGAGAAACTGTCTAACTCGAAGGATAGTTTAAAACTTCCAGTGATGGGGATTCCACAACCTCCCTGGGAAGCCTATTCCAGTGCTTAAGACCAGGTTAGACAAACACCTGTTGTCAGGGATGGTTCTAGGTATATTTGGTCCTGCCTCAGCACAGGTGGCTGCACTAGATGACCTCTCCAGATCCCTTCCAGCCCTGAATTTCAATGATTCTATAAAAGGAGGCCAATCTGAGAATGAATTCTCCCTTGAACTACTTGCTCCAGGACAGGAACGACCTCTTTATATGTATATAGTACCTTTTCTGTATGGATCACAAGACACTATTGTTCATTAGCTAAATGTCACAAAACCCTTTTACATATTTATCCTCACTTTACAGTGGATGGGTAAAATGAGTCACAGAAAGATGAAGCGACTTGCGCTAGATCACACACACCAAGCCAGTGGTCGAGGTGGGCTTAGAACCCAGGAATTCTGACTCCCAGTTCCCCCACTCTATGCAGTGGACCATGGTACTTTCCTTTTGGTATTTTATGCTAGCACTTCTATGTACATTTATATGGGTTTTGCACTTGCAACCACAATCTCCTTTTCTTCATTCAGGTTTCCCTTCTCTAGGGTGACCAGATGTCCCAATTCTATAGGGACAGTCCCAATTTTGGGATCTTTTTCTTATATAGGCTCCTATTACCCCCCATCCCCTGTCCCAATATTTCACACTTGCTGTCTGGTCATGCTACCCTTCTCCAGCCTCTCCCAGTGCAGAGCACCTCCTTGGGCTGTGGCTATGGCATGACAAATTTATTTTTCAATGTATAAAGTGTGCCCTTATCTGTATGTCTCATGTTGCAGCAAATAGGTGGTAAAAGTTTAACACAGCCTAGCAAGCTTAAACGAGCCCTCTTACAAACAGCAAAAGCGTAGGATTCAAATCCTGATCATTCTCAAAGGACACACTGGACACACCATTACATACGCCTGCCTCCTGCTAGTTCACATGCGATGTCCCCCCTCAGCTAGGTACTCACATCATACTTCTCGGCCAGTTTCAGGTGGAGGGCACGTTTCCAAAGATTCTTTGCCAAGCCGGATTCTGCGAGTAAGACTGAGACACACAAGGCTGCAGTGAAGATCTTTTTGCAGAAATGCAGCTTGGGCCCCAGGCTATTGCTGCTGGAGTCCATGTTCCTGATGAGAAATAAGAAAATACGGATCCCAGCTTTCAAGGCGCCAGACAAATCAGAGGGAGGGAGAGAGCTGACTGCTGAAGCAAACGACTCTTTGCTGAACAGCTTCTGGGAGGCAAAAAATAAACAAACAAAAAAAGTTTTGGAGCCCAGAATCAGGAGCCAGGAGCTGCTGTTGAACTTTCTTGTTCAAAGACAGATCAGGTTCTCCCATCTCGTGTACCCACGAGGCACATATTCCCCTTGAATGATCACTGGATAGATTATTTTTAGACCTTTGTTCACAACATCTGGCATTCTCAGGGCGCTCCATTCAAAGCCAAAGCATGGGATCAAATGGCAGCTGCTACAGGGGGAAAGAAAGGTCTTGGAGGAGTGCCCCGAGCAGCTTCTAGCTGCAAACTTTCCAAGAAAACAAGTACGCTCATTGTGCACCCTCCCCCACCCCCCAAGTAGATGCCCTGATCTGTAGGTTTGTACCCTATTTCTACAAGGTGGTTTATTCTCTGAGGGAGGCTTTGTTTCCAGAAGGAAATTATTTAAAAACACACGGATGGGGTCATTAAAACAAGTTGACTTTAGCTGTCATTCGAAGGTTGATTTAAATTAGAGGAAGAGGGGGCTACTGGGGGAAGAGGAGCCCGCAAGCGCTGGGAACGAGTTGGAAATGCTGGGCCAGGGGAAAGGACTTTATTTAAGGAAAATGGGATGAATAGCTGGCTTGCAGTGCCATGCAATGCGTGGAATTGAGCAGGGACTGGATTTGAGACTGTTATCTAGGATAACAAGATAGGGCCCTATTTTCAAACTTGATTGAAGAAATCACTATTTAGGCACCTAAATTCCTGTTTTTAGCCACTTAAATCCAACCCTAGGTGCCTCCAGAGAAGCAGGTAGCTGCTGGTACCTGAATTTAGGCCCCAATCCTGATGCAGCTGCATTTGAAGACTGGATTCACAGATGCCAGTGGAAATCCATGTTTTATGCACTCTGTGGTTTGGGTGCCACACAATAATTATGGAACATTAAAATGATTTCAAGTGTTTGCCACAGTCCATGCACTTAGGGGCCAGTCCTGGTCCACACTCTCCCAACAAGCACAGAACAAGTGCAATTCCATTGCCCCCGGTGTGGGGACAGGATTTGGGGGAGCTCTCAGGGCTATGTGGAACCCTGCACTTTATGCAGCCCAGCTCTGCAGGGGATACCTGCACAGCAGTGTCCAGGGAGTATTTGAAGGTGAGGCCTGGGCAGAGGATCCCATGCTGTATAACGCCTCCCCACCTTGGAGTGCGTGAGTTAGCGTCACAGAGTCTAATCAGGCCATTAGGCTACTGTGTTGGTGGATCAGTTTTACTGCCATAGCTTGGCTTTGGTGGGGGGACTCACTCTTCCCTCTGCAGATCTTCCCAGAACCCAGCTAAGATTCTAGGCCTGGGCCCTGCCTGGCTCTGCCCCTTAGGGACAAATTCTGAACTCTTTACTCAGTCTTAACTCAGGCCAAATCTCCAGTGAATTCAGTGGAGCAGGAGTTACAAAGGGCACAGATGGGGCCAGTATGTACTCCCCATGATATGCCTGCCCGATCTGTGCTGCTCGTGCACCACCGTGAGCTGTTGATACGCAGGACACTTGTTTTGCCTGCTCTGTGACCAATGAAAGTGAAACAGTGGAGTTTTCAGCCAGAGGAGGGACGGACCTCCTGTTACCCCTCTCCTCAGGAGAATGACCTTAACCACCTGCCTACAGAGGCCAGGGTGAATGGGTGAGTGGTCCAGGGGAGGAGACATTATTGTTTTAACACCGGTCTATCTCCGGAGGTGAAAAGCAGAATGCCAGCAGTGGACACTGTGAGCAGGCCTCCCTGGTTGTAGATCGTGATAGTGGGACCCCATGGAGCAGCTCCCCTCCCAGCATCTCGGGAGACGTGCTCCTTCTCTGTCCAAGAGGCTTGAAAAGTATTTGGAAACAGATCCCCAATATCTCGCTGCTCCTAGACACAGGCCCGTTCCTATTGTGTCACTTCCAGGCCTGCCTTATCTTACGCTGGGCACAGGCCTGCCAAAAGCAATTCTGGGCCCCGAGGCCAGGGCCATCCCTAGCGGGGTGCGGGGCCCAGGGTGGAAGTGATGAATCCTTCACTGCTGGGACTGACTGCGCTGGCCAATCATGTCGGCCCGTGGGGCCCCCCAAAGCGTGGGGCCTGGAGCAGTCACGCGCACCTCAGAGCCCTGCGTCCCTCCCGGGTGATTTAAAAGGCCCTGGGGCTCCCGGCCACCAATGCCGCTACCATGGCAGTGGGGCCCCCGGGCCCTTTTAAATCACCTGGGCCCCTGAGCAATTCCCACCCTCTGCCCATCCCCGTCAGCGGGCCTGGCTGGGCCTGCTGTTGGCCTAGGATCATGAGAATGCAAAGGTGCCTTAACCCCTGTTCTCCCACCTCCCTAGTTGTGATGTATGCATCTTAGCCACAGCCGAGGATCTGGGCCCTTCTTTTCCATGGTTCATGGGAGGCTCAGTCTTACTGCTCTGATGAGTCTTTAGGGCTATGCTGGTACGGATGTACACTGTTGTTGTAGCCGGGTTGGTTCCAGGATATTAGAGAGACAAGGTGGGTGAGGTCATATCTTTTATTGGACCAACTTCTGCTGGTGAGAGAGACAAGCTTGTATAGCTCGGAAGCTTGTCTCTCTCACCAACAGAAGGTAGTCCAATAAAAGATATGACCTCACCCACCTTGTCTCTCCAATGTGCTCTGTTAGACCCTTCTAGAGAGCTCTTCCTTCTCTTTGGGAAGCAGAGGCATTACCACCTAGGTGGTGCTGAGCACCTAAGGGCTGGCCAAACTGGTTTTCCTTGAAGGAAGCTATTTGCCACAAAAGCCTTCACTGCTTCCTCTGTGTTTAATAAGGCCCATCTCACGGCTGAGGTTTTGTCTAGCAGGTTACTTTCAGTTACCCCACTGATGGCAAAGGCATCAGGCCCATATTCCATGTCTTTATTGTCAGTGAGGGCCTTGAACTGACCCACTTCCTTCCCTGGGAAATTGAGCTCCACCCTGGGCAGTTCCAATACCAAAGTTCGAGCTCATGATCTTATGTCTCTTTACAAATCACCATCCCTCTGCCCCTGAATCCTAAATTTCGACTGAAATCAATCACCAGCATAAATTGGGAGTAGTGCCGTGATGGCTCAGATATCTCAGTACCTCCAAAGACACATTCATCCCTCATATAAATCCATCAATCGTCTTCTTGTGTCTGGCTTTAGTTTCTGTTGTTGCTTGGAAAGCTCGAATAGCAAGATCTGTCTTGAGCAGACATGATTATATGCCTCAAACTGTTTTCATTCTTTTTAGAATGTGGTTCCTCCTTTTGGTGCTGTTAATAATAAAGAACACTTTGATAAAGCTTTGATCATACAGAATTGCTAGCATCTGAGTATTCTGCCTATTGTGTGTTGCGTGATAAATGACAGGACCGAATGCTTTAAACTGATTTTCTTTAAAGTATTCCCACTTCATCTAGATGCTTGTGTAGCTATTTCTCTTCATCTCTGAAACCAAAAACTGCATTGCATGACAGTTGTTCACTATAAATCTCCCTGATTTCATTTTTTTGTTGAATGCATGCACATGCCAGATTTGGAGCTACTAATTCTAGAGATTAATGGTCAGGGTAGAAACCATTTGCTGGCCCTTTTCTTGGCAGATATGCAGCTTTGACACATACCCACTAGAAGTAAGGGCACATGTGCTACAGTTTATAGAATGCACACTGGGGAAGTAAGAATTTCCTTGCATTACTAAATATTTAGAGGTGGTTAAGGGCTCAGTTTAAAGCTGTCCATGTCATTGGCCAACACATGAGTTCTAAGAAATCTTAGCACTTATCTGCTTGGTAGTTTTCATCCTAAATTTGCAAAGCATCTTACAAAGCTGTGGGAGCATTATTAACCACACTTTACAGATGGGAAAACTGAGTCAAAGAGAGGGGGTTGCTTTGGCTTTTATTTAAAGTGACTTGCTGAATGTCACAGGGTAGGTTAGTAACAGAACTGGGCATGGAGCTCAGATTCCTGACTCCTCCCCCCCATGCCTTAGCCACTTAAATTGCTAAACACTGGCCTAGTGCGTGAGCACAGTTCCACCTATTTTAATCAGTTATACTGTACTCTCTCTCAGCTGCGAATTCCTCACACCAGTCCCACCTCACTCCTCATATGACATGGCTTCTATTCTTTGCAATAAGTTCTAGCAGAGCCAGAAAATCCCCCAAGGACTCAGAGGACCCAGCCCCTTCATGCTAATTATTTTAGAATCTCAGAAGTCAGAGATGGAAGAAAACCACTCGGGCAGATTCACCCTGGCTGGGGCAGGGTGGGACAAATTATCCTCTGAGAGGGTTCACTCAAGGGTAGTTTGCACTTTCTTCCTGCCTTGGAAACTGCGGCTTTAATTCTGCTGTAGACTCAAGAAGAACACACTAGCTGGTGCAGCTTTGTTCCCCGTTGCCATGTTTTGTCAAGTTCACTTTTACACTTGGATTTAAACAACCCATTCAAAAAAAAGGAGCTTTGACTTGCTGAAGAACCTCTAGTTTAACGAAGTAGTTCACAGCAGGTTTATGGCTCCCACAATTGGTCTAAAGGATTTTGGCAGGCTGTGATGTAATTATCGGAATCAGGCACAAATCCTTAGCAAAGAGAGGCCCTGGCAATCATTAGAAGTTTAAAAGGAATATCCTCTAACCTTCTCTATGATTTGTTGAAATCTTTAGTTTAACTGTCTTTACTTCTCAGCAGAGTTCTGAACTGTATGACTTTAACGGCTAAGTATTTAAGAAAGTATTAAAACAGAGACTGCAACATAGGGATTATGTTAAACACTTGTTCTGTTGAATTAGGGTTTATCTGCACACAAAAGTTGTACCACTTTAGCTCTACGGGTATAGTTAAGCAGTTCTTGTGCTCAGCTTGTGGCTGGCCTCTAGAAGGGATGGGAAACAAGGGCAAAGAGAAAGCTGGCTGTAGTCACTTTTGGAGATCCCACGCTTTCATACTCTGGGGGGTTCATGCATTAATGCAACTTTACTGGTATATTTAAAGTGTTACAATCCTCCTTGGGGGGATGCAGTTCAGAGGCACCAATTCAGATATTTCCTGGGGCGGCGGTGGAGGGCGGGCAAAAATCTGGTTCCCACCAGTTTCCATGCGCCAAATCACATCATTATTCACGGAAATCTGGCCCAGACATCTGTCTGTACAGAGGAGAGGCTGGATCAAATTTCAGTGGCGTTGTGATCACACAGCTGGAGAGATGCTCCAGACCATTTTGTTAGCATCTGTAGTAATTGA